AAGAAAAATCTTTTTGCAAGTTACTTATAAGCATAAGGACATGACTAATTCGAAAATATCTCTGCTCAGGTCTTTTCCATTACCGGCATAGATCGGTGGTTAAGTTGTTCGACTCATACCCACAAGGTACTGTGTTCAAATCTCAGCATCACCCAAATATGTAACTTCTTTGGGCAAGTTACTCACGGTCTATTGCCTCGGATTATCCGTCCGATAGCGACCTCACTATATTGTGGCACACGAGAGAGTGTTTACACTCTTTCAATGTGTGTCAGCCTAGTTGGGAGAGTATGGGGAGCTCAAGCAATTGGGCGAGACGAACTCTGAGTCAGGCCAGCCTTCTGTCCAGAGCTGCAACGTAGTGATTAGTAAAGAAACGTGTGAACTTCCTCCAAGATCATCAGCTGTAGGAAAAAGTATCGGGTTAATGAAACTGTCTTCTGACAGCACCCTACACCGCAAGGCGGGGTATTCTTTTTCTTCTATTCTTTTCCGTTACCGCGATAAGAGACATTATTTCCTAAAAACTGACTCTTATTTATTGCTTCGAAGGAGAGAGTTTTTGGTGAAATTGATTACTTCGGCAGCTGTAACTTTGTACCTAAATTCTCTGACAGTTGTAATTTTATAGAAATGTCTTCCATGGGTGGGGAGAGCGCGCAAATTTTCGAAATTTTGGACTTTTTCCATTGTTAACCATGTCAGACGTCTGACTTTTTTGCTTATAAGCAACTTGCAAAAAAAATTTTCTTCAACTCGTCTGCAAAAAAACTCCAGCCAAATCTATTTCCACTCGATATGATGGCGCCTTAACCTCCCACCCAGAATAGAAGGCCATGGTCTCCTATGGTGATTTCGCGCATCGCATTTTTTTGGGTGAAAAACTGTCCTACCCCTTAGGGCGTTTTTCAAAAATTTTCACTCCAGACTGGCCTTCTGTTCTGGTTGGGGCGGGAGGAGGGTTTACGAATCATTACTTAACCTACTATTGTGCGAGTTTCTAATCATTAAATAACAGACTGTTTTTAAGATTTTAACTGTAATTAAGCAAAGATGGATGAACCATGGGCGAGATCAAAGTTTTTGGACAAAATATTCATGCACTTTTCTGTCTTAAAAAAATTTCGTGAAACAGAAATAGATGATTCAACACTGCCGTTCAAAGCTATCTAATTATGAGCGGACTTTTTCTCTTTGAATGTTTGAGCGCCATTTTAGGGAAAATAAAAGTAGGAGATATAGAACCGTCATCTGAAGGTCTTTCGAGCTGCATGTTCAGCAAGCGTGTGTCATAATGCGTTGTTAAGCGACGGTTTCCTCTTCAAAATCTTCAGGTAAAGCACGGACCACCACGTGTATAAGGACAAATAAATTTCTCGGAGTAGCTCGAATAAGTTTTTTTCAATGTAGTTTTATAGTCCGAAAATTTTAGTACAAAATGATGCATTGTCCTTTGAAAGAGTATCTAGGATAAGAGAGTGATAATCTTTTTATAGGGAACCATTTTAAATGTGAAATGCAACATGAGCAAAAATACGTTTGTTTGAAAATGAGACGTTTTCTGAACAAAAACAGTAAAGATATTGTTTTAACACACAAGCTATTTTAAGTACAAAGTTGTGTAGAAGAATCTTTATTCTACAAAATGGTGGAAACAGACAGTTAAAGAAAATAGATTCTAACTCAACGACCCAAAAGACAAAAAAGTGGAGAAAAACATTCTTTTCGAGAGGTTTTTAAAGATGCTCTTCCCGCTCGGTAACAAAACACGATAGGCAATATTTAAACGTTAGTTAGATAGACCTCTGAGTGGCGATTTTGAATCACCAATTTTGTTTTGACGAAAGCATTTTATGGCGGAGAAAGATATATGAACATTTTGTCCAAAAACTTGCGCCCACCCGTTAGTTGGCTGCGTCCAGTTTGAAAATAACTTGTTTCAATCCATCTTATTTTCTCTTCTTCTCTCGTACGATGAAAGGCAGGAAGAATATCACGTTTAGTGGCTATCATCTATGGTATAAGGTGCTGATAAGCGTTAGTTTCAATAATCTAATAGCTTCTCTATCTTCGATAAACTTCAGATTTGCTTATTCATCTCTTTATCAGTCATCACGTACAGCAACTCTGTAGGGGATTCTTTCAATGATTCAATGATTTTTTCTTCTATTATCGTTATTTTATTATTTTCTCTCTTGAAGATAGTACAAAGTATATATCATTCAATGCTTGCTACACAATAGTCGGGATTTTTTTCTATCTCTAGAACTGCGACAAATAGTGATTTCTTTTCTTATTATTCACGTTATATATAGTGTCTGCGCTAGACGTGGGTGAGACCGGGGCCAAAAAAGTCTTTTGCGGAAAATTGTTGCGACTTCCGGCGCCGCCATGCCGTTAAACTTTTGTCGCTGCCGAGGGCAGAGAAAAATTTTTCAGAGAACGCAGGATTCTCGGACTATTTTTGTTAGTACGTTCTTACCTTAGGTATCTAGCGTGCAGCGCTTTTCTATCTTTTCGTATACCGCAACGTACCGATACAGTTGGTGCGCGATGAACCTGCCAGAAATGGAAGCGAACGTTGCTTTACTTAAAATTAGGAGATTCGCCGTTAAAAATTTCATTCGCCACCGCTGAGAATTTTTTATCGGCGCACAAGTCTGAATAGATATACATCTTGTATGATACATCTATCGACTCTTCGACTGGTATGAAGGAAAAAGAACGAAGAAAATATGACATCGCGCAGACAACAGCCTTAATATATATGTTATATACATCAAACATAGTTGATAACACACATTCTAACGTTCGCATACACTATATATAACGTGAATAAGAAAAGAAAAGAAAATCTCTATTTTTTGTCGCAACTCCACTATTGTGAATGTTTAACACCTATTAGGATAAAAGATCCGAATATAGTCATGCTATCAGTAGTTGAGTGAAATGTTTCAATGCCCTTCATTTAGAATAATGGTACGCTGTAGTGTATGACTTAGAATGAGAAAAGACAGCTCTTTTCTAAAATAATTCACTGTTATTTGTTAGAAATGATAAAACCTAAGTGCTTAAAATATCGGGAGAACATGATCAGTGTATAAAGTGATCGTTATTCACATTGCATGTTTTAGTTGTTATATTCAATCGCACTAATAAATCTAAGGCAGTGGGCAATGCCTCTGAATAACGTGAATTTAATCCTCTTAAGAAAGAAACTATTAAAGCGGATGCATTTACCGCACTGTGTCTACTGTGATTAATTGTTATAAAATATAAATCTTTTTGCACAGAATAACAAACGAGCTCAGAAAAAAGAGATAGGAGGGCATAAAGTCTACTTCATTTTTCTAGAAACGTAGATACTGTAATACTGTAAATACAAAAGACATACAGTATTTAAATCTGAATTTCATAATCATGATTAAGGTAATGATATAACTTGTCTCAAATCCATTAAAGCTTCATAACCACTTGGGATTAGAAGAGGAAAAAGTCGTCCACAGAAAGTTAAAATAGCTTTAGCAAAACACTGAATATTAGTGAAAAACTAATATAATCTAGCACCTTTTCTTTTCTTGAACTACTTTTTTTCTTACTAAATATACTTTGCTACTAACAAAATCATTACTTAATTTTCATAAATTAATTTCCGAGCTTATTTCACTCTTTTTACCTCCAAAAATAAAATTAACCAAGTTCATTTCTCTCATTTTAAAGCCAATTAAACTCAAATCTATCTTTTTTTTCGCACTTATTTAATTTTGCATCCAATCTATTTTATGCACTCTTTTCCATGCAGGACATTTATCTTTTACGCGTAGAAAATAAAATTAAACTCTGCGATGGCACACTCTTAAGATATGTCTACTACTAATTGTGCTTATTTTATTGCGAGTATATCAGTGGAGTGTTGAAATAAATAATAAGTTAAGATACATCATTAGATAAAAAAAGTGTTGACTATTATTTCGACAAAAAACAGCCTTCAATATCTTTTTTGAGTAAAACAAGGAAAATATACGCAATGACTCACTGTCAGTAAAGAAATGTATTTGATAGATGGAGCATTAAAAATTTGGACGATTGTACATTAATACTCAGTTTTGTTCTGTTAAGACATCATGTAGTACTCTAACATAAAAACCATTTTTTTTTGTTATTGTAAAATAAGATCAAATGGTCATTTTATCTTTTTAATGCGTAGTGTTATTGAATTTTATTATTTTCTTGTTTGGAATAAAGTAAGAATGACAATGTATTCACATAAACGTTTGACATAAATGATTTTGAGTATGATACTGATCCGAGTGCCGTATTCTATCAGTAATCCGCAAATTGCTCTGTCGAAAATTTCTATCAGACGAAGTTTGCTGTTTTTGCTTCCCAGCGAAAGTATTCCCGTTATATATTTCATATGTCTAAGAGCTCGGTGTAGCTGAAGCTATTTTCTGAAATGTGACTTTTCGACTTGACTTTCATGAGTTGTTTTATGTAACTGTCATCGATGTAATATTTCCTGCTTTATTCTTCCATTAATCGTTGTTTAATGTCTAATATCACAAAAAGAATCTCCAGAGACAGTATAAGGTAGACGACAATCATCTGATCCGACATACGCGTTCACCCATGCAAATGAGCAATAAAACGTTCTCTTAGCTATGAAATGACTGAAGAAACTAAACTCTTCGTGTATTTTGAAAAAAGCTAGAAACAGCATAAGATATATGCATTTTTGAAAAAATTAAGTACAAACCTTTTAGAAGACGTAAGACGTGTTTTCTCATCCCTTATAATGGTAACGTGAGTATAACCTTGATTGAAATTGAAAGAGTAACTTCATGAATTAAATTTTATCCAATCCATCGACGAGACGTTTTCAAGAGTATTTATCCATTTAGCTTTATTAATGATCAAATGTTTGCCTCAACTCATTTTTATCAATTTTAGATTTATTTCCTATTTTTTATTTTCTATAAATCGTCGAATATATTATCAGAATGGGTATTTTAAAAGGCAAAGAAGCCGCTCTGGAAAATATTGAAAAATCAAAAACAGCTTTTTTGGCTAAAATGTCAGAAGTTGAGAAAGGTCCATCGTCAAACACTATGCCACCCAAGGATCATTTCGTTGTTCGATTTGATAAAGAATCAGTTCGAAATTTAAGAGGAAGAGTCTATGAAAACATGAAAGAATATACCTATGAACAAAGAGGTAAACATTTTAATTTGTAACGTGAAATATTTAGCTAAATACAGGATGTTTTATTTCTTTTGATTAGGCGAAGGTATAGTACCAATGTTAGCTGATACAGACAAAGAAGAGAAGGCAGGTGTAATTCTTAATCCCGTGAAGCCACCTGAGCCAACTGTTGGTGAACAATATGTAGCATGCATTTTTGACAATTTGAAACACGTAGATGTTTTAGTTCACATTGATTGGAGTGAAGTTGATGAATTAGTTAAAACAGCAAATGCAAGACGAAAATCAGTCGTCTAGAAAGATACATTCTCATCAAAACTATAATATTGCTGACTCTTCGCTACTCGAGCTATTATATGTGCGTTGCTTAATTACAATTTTTTTTATATGCTTAAACAATAAAAATTATGAAAATAAGGTTAAAGACAATGATAAACATGCGGCACTACATAAAAATATCTCGATTCTTCTATTTCAATATCCATTATAGCTATTGACTTTTTTTACTTGAATATGGTTGGCCTTATCTACTGATCATCTGACGTATGATTCTTCAGATCAATGAATTATTAATTTATTGCACGATTGTTTCTGATGGGATTCTACTGTTATAATGTGTCGCTACTATACAGTTATTCGCTCAAATTTCATCAGAATTTCGGCAGTCGTGTAGAATCACAAAATAGGTAAATAGTTACTATTTCACAATGAGCGACTACTTGCATTTGTACATTGATGGATACGGTTTGAGGATTGAGAAAGAGTGGTACTAGTTACACTACAGTTCAGAGGTCAATCCCATTCCAGTCTTTAATTATAGCAAAAGAAGTGGCAAAAAAATCTGTATTGCACTAGGGATACTGGAACATACACGAATGACCTATACGTCGAGATGGCTATTTATATTCAATTCTATTAACTGCAAAAATGTTTGCAGTTCCATAAATCTCTAAAAAATTTCTACTTAAAGATAAATTTTCTAATCTTGCGCGATCAATGAGTAAGTCCGATTAAGAGGTGCAGTCGCCGTATATGACTCGAATTGCTAGTTTTCGAACCCCATCAAAAAGCTGTATATGAGTTCTGAAGTTACTGTCTTATACAAGACACGCATAGTTCATCAAACACGGGATTTTATAGAGGTGTACTTTTTCTTCGATTGAACGGAGCATTTCCAAATGCACGATCATCATTTTTCGGCATTCACCAGGTATGTTTTATACAGGTTTATTCTATATTTTATTATGACACCGAGTAATTTGAATGTAGTGGGTTATAGGTTATCAATCATGCTGATTCCGAATATGACCATGGGGATTCCCCATAGCCATTCGAAGATCCAGCCTTCTGGAAAACCAGTTTTTCAGAAACCCTAAAAAATAATCGAAACCTTTCTCAACAAAGCATGAGTGTAGCGTGCAAATTTCTGATTAAAATGAGACATTTCCCAGATCTACACGACCTTTCTTGCAAAGTTATACAATTTATAGCAGAAGCTCTAAATTAATTTTTTTGGCTAACAATGAACATTCAGGGCTTTTCCTGTAAATTGTATAATTTGCAAAGAAAGGTCGTGTAGAGTTGGGAGATGTCTCATTTTAATCAGAAATTTGCACGCTACAATCGGGCTTTGTTGAGAAAGGTTTCGATTATTTTTTAGGGTTTCTGAAAAACTGGTTTTCCAGAATGCCGGATCTTCGAACGGCTATGGGGAATCCCCATGGTCATTTTCGGAATCAGCATGATTGATAACCTATAACCCACGAGATTTCAATCAAAAAGCGATTTATCACCTCGGGAGATTCCCTCATAAGATTACTGCTCAGGCTTTGTTACTCATACTGAGTCCTTGGAAATTGTTCCGCGTTTAGCAGCCAGAATTATTGCACGACATTTGAACTACCTTGAAACCAATTTGAAACCTGTCATTTAAAAATACCACATCGTTCAGCAAAATATAAGCTATTGTTCATCTGGAGACACTGTATGGTGACACGACTATAATACCAACAGTTCAATCAGAAAGGATTCAGTCATCGAGAGCAGCAAAATACAGAAGCCTCAAAAAGAATAACTCTAAGGTAGGAGTAGTTTATGGAGTTTAGCTTATGTCATCACAATACATTATGAGAGAGATTGAAAAACCGACTTTTTTTCCGCCAGACGGATCGAGCTGAAATTTTGGGAAATGAATTATGATTATTAGTTACACATTTTGTGAAATTTTCATCTTTACACATATAATGGT